TTATAAAGGCTATGACGCGTCGTTGGGCGTTCGCTTTTGTTACTGTGTGACAAGGTCGTGACCATTCGGTATTTTAAAAAAAGAGAATTGAAATAGATGTGACTGAAACATAATGATTTTCTTTTTTTTCTAATGTATTCCCTCCGTCTGAAAATGATCTTTCCATTTAACTTTTCATGGTCAAAGTTTGTAAACTTTGACTATGATATGTAGAAAAAATACATTGTATTATGATATAAATTTAATATCAATATATTTCTATTGAAACGTAATTTTGAAATATCAAATTATTATAAAATATATCTATGTGTAAATATAGATATTAATGGTCAAAGTGTAATATTGGAAACCGTAAAAAGTCCAATGTGAAGAATATTTCCGAACGGAGGGAGTAATACTTTTAGTCATTATCCATTAGTCATTATTCAAGTATATATTCTTCATCACTAGACATTATGGACATTATTAAGTGTTATTTAGAGAACAAAACAGTTTAAGTACTATTTAGAGAAATGATTTAAGTTTTAGTGCTATTTAGTGCAAATATTTCTTAAAAAAACGCGTCTCATATTGTTATTATTCGAATAATTCAGCAAAGTTTCAGATTTACGTTTAAACTCATTTTGCACTAGCTATGTCGTTCACTAACAAGATGATACCATGATATAGTAACACAAATTATTCCATAATAATTCGATGCTTTGAATTTTTTTATTCATAACAATCGTCATAATTACAAAATTAGTACACCAATACTTTTATGCATTCCTACTCAACAAGTGTATTGTTTGGTAACAATTTTTGACAAGTTATAATTATAGTTTATTTTTTAACATATAAAAATATAATTTGAGTTGTATCTAAAGATAATAAAGTATTAAAAATATAAGTTTAACTATGTTAAAGTCACACCAAATTAAATAAATATTACCTAAACTTACTAATAATAAAAAATAAAAATATATAAATAAATTATTAATTTAATATTTTAGTAGTCTAGTACCATTTTGAGAAGGCTTTGGTTCCGTTTGAGATATACTCCGTAATTTATTAGAACCATTTAAAAATCTACTTTCAGTTCGTTAAAATGTTGGTTCGATTCAAAAAATGTCGGACTGGTATTTTTGTCCACCCCTACGTGTGACCACACATCCACCTTTTCCCGAAAATGCTAGGTGCACATAGCTATGCTTGACATTGTTCCGTTTTAATCAGATTCTACTTCTGAATTCGGCGCTTCAGGTACTGCCATGCGGTAGACCTGCCCCGACGGCGTACAGTTCTAGCTTGAATGATATATTTTTTATTTAAAGAATCATAAATAGTTAAAATATTTGTCTAAATATAGTTGTTACTTGTACTATACATAAGCATCAATTACATTAAATACCATGAAAGTTCAAAAAAAAAAGCGACGGAGTACAAAGCCGTAAAGAAACTTTCGAGCGAGTTCATAAATCACTCGCTAAAAAAACTAATTTACAATTACAAAAAAAACTAAGTAAGCCAGCCATACAAACTATCACTTCCCTCCGTGGTTGCATCCATGTAATTTTGTGTATTGATGTCGTACCTGTAGAATTTAGGATGAATATAAACAACTGGATTGAGTTATAAGACACTTGGGCTGAACCACATTAAAAGATTGAATCCAATCGATTAGTTAGTTAAACTCAAGAGCTTATATACCGATAGTTTTTCTATTCAACTTTCCGATGTGGATAGGCTCTAACAGTACCTTGCCTCTTATCAGACTCTTGCCTCTTATCATCATCGCCTTGCCAAGAGCCGTGTCTCTAGTGATTCGGCACTGAGGCAACTCTAGAAATCGGTGAAAATGTTCTCGTTAGAACTAAACTCATGTTCCATGGTTACCGTTACACCAACATAGAAATGAGTTAAGAGAAAGAGGGATCGGAGAACCGGAAGAGTATATATCTTGAAAGCTAAGGTCCAATGAAATCAATGATATACCCCAAGTGTGGCCACGAATGTAGCCTTACGGCCGACAGAGGCGATCGAGATGCATGTGTTTACAGCCACTCCTCACAAGCGCAAGGCTGGTCATAATAATACTCACTCATTCCGCAATAGATTTTTCAAATAATTTTCGAAAGGTAAATTTCAAAAAGGTGTTTTTTCAAATCACTTCTTAATAACTTTTAATTATTTAGGTGAGGTTCTCTATAATAGAGATTCATTCTCTAGATAGTCTTTCATAAATAATATTACTCAAATGATGAATAATTAGTGATATTTTGGTATTTTTATTATCAGTTAAATTTAAAATAAATTCTTAAAATGATTATTTCTAATGAAGTATTTTCTGAAAATGGGTTTTTCTAGGTAAAGATGTATATATATTTGATTCAAATTTTAAAATACTTTTCATAGGTTTTTAATAATTCATGGATTATGTGTAATATAATCAATGTATTATTTTAATTTTACATTTAATTGTATAGAATTGGCCATTTTGAAAACCTACTTTAAATTTAGATGATAGAAATACCAAACTCTTCTTTAATTAATCATCATTTGAGTAACATTATTAATGAAAAATTACTTAGGGAATAAGTATCAATTATAAAGGATCACGTAAGTAATTAGAACTTATTGATGACTACATTGGAAAAATACATTATTACAAAGGACCATTTTTGGAATTTATTCATTTTAGAATTACATAAGAAAACATCAAAATCTTGTATATATTTCTTTCAAAAAAACTTGTATATATTAAGATTATTTTATTCAAAGAGATAAAATTGATAAAAAAAGCAAAATAAAATTATATATTAAAAAAGTTATGCAAAGGTCTAAAAAATGAGATATGACAAGAATATGTTATTTTATCAAATTATTATAAAAATACAAATAAATATGGAGTAAAAGTTATCAATTCCCCAAGAGGTTGGAATAGAAAAGTTTGTAATCAATTGTGGCACAGAAAAGTAATACAGTAATACTCCGTAATTTTTTAAAAATTAATTTTTTCGTTTGAGTTCATGTAAATTAAAATTACTCATTCCGTCTCATTTTATTCTTCTCATTTTGAACACGTGCTAGATCTTATTTTATAGAAATAATCTTATTTTTAAATTAGAATATCAATAAAAAAGTACAAATTACACTATTCAAATATATATCAAATATCCTTCAAAACTAAATGTGATAATAATATTTTATTTTATCAAATGATCAAAGAAAACAAACATACAAATTTAAGTTATCGAGATGCTTGGAATAGTGAACCAAAAGATTAATTTGGAACGAATGAAGTATTAAATTGCGAAAACAAATCATTAAAATTTATCTAGAAGAAAGAGAAATAGTTTGTGTCATATATTCTTTCTAAAAAAGAAAAGTCAAAAAATTATTTTAGAACTAATATAAAAAAAATAGAAAATATTTCATTGAACGTATGGAATAATAATAATAATAATAATAATAATAATAATAATAATAATAATAATAATAATAATAATAATAATATTGATAAGATACTCCCTCCGTTCCTTTAAACACTTCCTATTTTGATTTTGGGTTAAAATAAGAAAAGTGTAATTTTGGTTGACTTTCCAATTTTGCCCCTGATGTGATGGATAAAAGTAAGATGTGATAATTTGGTTTTTAAAAAAAAAGTATGATGTGATAGGTAGAATATGAAAAAATAGGGGTAAAAATGGTTTTTTAATAGAAAGTGGAAGTGTTTTAGTAATTAGAAAAAAACGAAAAGCAGGGCCAGCTCAAGCCAGGGGCAAGGTGGCCACCTGAACAGGGCCCAATTTTGGAGGGGGCCCCACTTTTTTTCTTCTTTTGTATATATTCTATATATATTATATATATTTATAAAAAAAACAGGTTAAGACTATGAATTATAAATTTATAAGACTATGAATTTGACATTTTATTATTCTTATTACTATAATATTTTTTATTGTTAAAAAAATTTAATTGATAGACTTTATTTTATTATGACACAATGGCCCATTTTCTCCTTGACGTCCAGGGTTCCTGATTTCTCGAAGACGGCCCTGACGAAAAGGGAAGAGTTTTATGAAACGGAGAGAGTATAATAATAATAATAATAATAATAATAATAATAATAATAATAATAATAATAATAATAATAATAATAATAATAATAATAAGGGTATTATTATGGTCTTTTTAGGGAACATTGTTGTGTCATCGTTAGTAGGCTAATTGGCGCTATGATTATTATTATATAATTGTTGTCTTTTGTAGGGAACATTATTATGATTATGTTATTGCTATTTGTTAAGTAGGCTATGCAAAAGTCTTTGATTCGGAGTGGGTACGTTTGACATGGATTAGGAAGGCACTAATGTATGGCGGAAATAACACGCTTGGAAACCCTCTCCCACCTTCCCTCACTCTCATCTCCCACCATACCTCCCCCTTTCACAATTTTACCTTTCATCTCTGTTTTTTTGCAACAAAAAAAAAAAAATATCGCTTTTTCCAATCGTGCAACATTGCAATTTTTAAAGCACATTTTTTATGTATTAAAGATTTAAAAATTGTATTATTTTTTTTCAAATTAAGTTGTCTGTTTACTGTTTACACGCTTAAACTAAATTTATTTTTTTTCTCTATTTTTATTACTTATTTGATGAAGTGATATATTATCATGTCATCTTTTGTTTTGTAGAACTTTTAATTTAGTTTTTTAATTATTATGTAAACACAAAAAACACTCGCTTTTTCCAATCGTGCAACAATGCTCTTTTTAAAAGCACATTTTTTATGTATTAAATAATTTAAAAATTCGATTATTTCATTTCAATTTAAGTTATCTGTTAATTATTGATACGATTAAATTTAATTCATTTTCTTTCTTTATTTAGGTTATTCATTTGAAAAGGGACACCATTTTTTAATAGTTTTTTAAAAATGAAATATGTTTTTGTTAGAAACAGAAGATGGAAGAGTACCTTTTTATTACAAGAACCGAAGTTGGGTTACATCCTAAAAAAAGCAAAGCCTGTTTATGTATTATGCATTGAGAATATAACAAATACACTATATGAATCACTTGGACCTACATTTACCCTGCACCAATGCACTTTTTACATTCTCCATATCAAGGATTTAACTAATCAATCAAAAATTCAAGTTTAGAGTTATAGGTCTTGGACAAGATTTATACTCTAATCCTCCATATAAATGAGTCTTAAATGGCTTAACTTTGTGCAGCTTCTGCAACAACATCCACCCAACTACACCCAGGAAACCTTTGGAGCTTCTTGTTCTTCTTTATGGACATTTTCACCTTAGCAACATTTCCCCACCTGCTCACATCTGCATATAGACCAGACAACAACACACCATTCCCTGCACTCAAAGGCTCCAACTTGGCCAACTCTTTAGCAGCTACCTCTGCAATCTCCAGATCCCCGTACTGTCTGCACGCCCCTAACAACGCTCCCCACGCGAACAAATCCGCCTCCATTGGCATACTTTGAATGAACTCATATGCCTTTCTTGTCTCCCCTCCTCTTCCTAACACATCCACCATGCATGCATAGTGCTCTAACCTTGGTTTGATTCCGTGTTCTCCCACCATCTTCTTGAACACGCTTTCTCCGTACTTGACCATCCCACCATGACTGCAAGCCGTGAGAGCGGCTGTGAATGTCAAGTGGTCCATTTTACCCTCCTCCTCTCTCGCCATTTTTTCGAAGAGGTGAATGGCTTCGTCGCAATGTCCGTGATTTGCGTAGCCGAAGATCATTGAATTCCAGGTGACCGTGTTTTTAGAGGGCATGGTGTGGAATAATTTACCTGCCTGGTAAATAAGCCCGCATTTCGCGTACATATCAATGAGAGCACTTCTTACATACACATCTTTTTCAGCTCCCATCACTATGGCATAACCGTGAATTTCCCTACCACGTTTCATGTTTGCCAAAGATGCACAAGCAGGCAATAGACTGCTAAGCGTCGCTGAAGTTGGAAGTATCCCAGCACTCATCATCTGCTTAAACACATGAAAAGCTTTGCGGTTGTGGAAGTTCTGGACTAGCCCAGAAACAAGAGAAGTCCAAGAAACGACATCTGGTTCTACTCCCTCATCTTGCATTAGTGCGAAGACTTTGGACGCCATAGCCATGTCATCTGCTTGAGAAAATCCTGCAATCAATGCATTATATGTCACGACATTAGGCTTCAACCCTTGTGGTTTCATTTCCTCGAACAAACTCAGAGCTTCAGTTTCATGCCTATGCTGGACAAGCCCTGAAACCATAGCATTCAGTGCCACTAAATCTTTCTTCCCCATTGCATCAAATACCCTTTTGGCCTTTCCCACTTTCCCACATTTCGAGTACATGTCGATTAGCGCACTAACCACATATGCATCAGATTCAAACTCGTTTTTGAGGATGACGGCGTGCAATGTCTCCCCTGTAATTCGATCAGAAAGATGCCCACAGGCTTTCAAGACACTGGGAAGAACGAATTTATTTGGACGCATTCTTGCCTCTTGCATTTCCTTAAACAGTCCCATAACTTCCTCGTAGATTCCTTGCCGGGAATAGGCCCCGGCCAGGACAATCCAACGACGTGCATTTGTCTTGGGAATTTTGTCGAACAGTTTGCGAGCATCATTTACCTGTTTGCATTCAGCGTAGAAAGTGATGAGTTTTGCTGCGAAATGGGTTCGACGGGCCAACCCATTGATGATCAGGCGCGCGTGCAACGCTTTCCCCGATCCCAAGTCGCCGCTGCGAGCATATTTTCCGATGAACTCTGTGTATGATTCCGACAAGGCATTGAACAAAAATGGGGTTATTCCTAGATAGTGACCGTTTAGTTGACCGTTGGTTCGTGGCATGAACTGAGATTTAAGATTTAACAAGAGCAAATAGGCAATATAAGGAAGGACAAAGGATTTTGGTATAGGTATGAACCATAAATTTCACCAACGAAGTAGTGGAGGTATATCACCTCTTTTTAAGGTCATACTAACCCGGACCAAAAGAACCTTGATGATTTCATAATAATCGAAAATCATTTCGTCACAAAATCATATAGTTGTTAATTTTAAATTTGTTTGAGATATACGTATTAGTTTTAGGCTATCATTCGTCGGGTTATAGATTTTATCCTCCAAGTATAAGTTAAAAATAATAAGGCTAAAAAAATATATTCTTTGACAATAAAGGATGCAAATGCCCAAAATTAGATAGTATGTTGGTACATGTAATTGGTTGCCATATGTTGATAAGGGTGCCCACAAATGTTAGTTCTTGGATCAAATGACACATCCTTCTCACCCCACAAACACAACCGAGAATGAAGCATTACCACATGGTTGCTTTTCTCTTAAAATACTTATTAGGAAATTAATGAGAACACCATGAGAAGACATGATTTTAATTTAATTCTTTGGAACATCAATGGCTCAACTAGAACGAAATTCCGAGAGCTTCAAGCATACCAAGTCCCCGCATTCGATACCATTTGACCAGCTTATTCAAGGTTCTTTTTCTGTTAAATTCAAGTTTATATATCTGCAAATATCACATTTTTTGTTTGTGAAAAAAATATTTTTGGGTTATTATATTGCTCCTAGCTAGCTATATGTTGCATGTATGTATGTTTATTGTTTAGCCTTAATTAGTAGGAGAAGAAAGGTGTTGGAGTCCAAATACATCACCAACCCAAAAGTGCATTAATAATAATAATCAAGAAGAGGCATTCCCCAATAATAATAATCAACACAACAAGAAATCTGTTCTTACAAAAGTCAAAGAAAGTGCTAAGAAGTTAAGGCACAGCCTCAGCGGCGGCAAGAAGAAGCACGAAAATCATGTCCCCGGAGAAACCAGCTCCACGCGGCCGGCATGGGGTGCAAACTTAGAAGAGAACGAATACGAAAACGAAGACGAATATGATGAAGATGAAGACGATGATGATGATGTGGTAGACGATGAAGATCCTGAGTATCTTGGAGCTCCTAGTAAGTAACAAAATTTACCTTAGTGGGTCCGTTAGATTCGAATTTGATCGAATTTAACTATATAGTCTTTGTTTAAAATCTAATTCTTTTTTGAAAGGTTGAATCAATTTTCACTATCTAATGGATGAAAACATTAATTAACGAAGAGTTTCTTTCCACATGGCTATCAGTGTATGAATCGGAACTGGCGCCGGAAGACTACAAAGAGACGGCACGGCAACACCCCCGCGCCGATCCTCTGTTTTCGGAGAAGAGCGTTTTCCCGCTCCAAGCAGCCACAAAACCCGGGAACGAAAAAGAGACCGGAGAAGAAAGGTCCAATGCGACAGAAGCCCAGCCGTCGTCGTCTTCCATCGACTCCAAGTTTTCCGGCCTGACGGTGGCGGCTACCGCCGCAAAGACAGAGGGGAAAGACAAAGAAGGCATTAGCAGCCCGACAAGATGGGACAAAGGGGTATCAGTGAAGGAGTACTTGATGAACAAGCTTGAGCCCGGGGAGGACGAAAGGGAGCTCTCCAAGGTGATCTCTGAGGCCATGAGTCCTAGAACCAGAGCTGCCGGAGACAGGGGAGTGGTCGAGAAAGTGAAGGACGCGGTTTCTTCCTTCCTCCGCCCTCAACCGCCGCCTATAAACCAGTTTCTCTCCAGAGTCGCGGCCGCCACCAACCACACGGAGGTGTCGCCGTCGCAGGGCTCTGTTTCCGCCACCAACGGAAACTCATCTCCCCTCATTCCCGTCTCTACCAATGCTCATGAAGGTAATGAGATAATTGTTATTCCATTCGTTCTAAAATTACCCTTCCCAGTTCCCAGTTACTATTCAAAGCTTGTAAATAAAACGGAAAATTAATTTTAGAACAGAGAGTAGAATATAAAAATCACGCGACCCAAATTCGGAGCTGACTTCTTAACAAGAAGTCACGAATTCGGAGCTCAACGTGACCCAAAAATCAAAGTGATTACAGATGAAAGTGACGAGACGTGTTAGCGTATAAATATCTTTAATGAGTCCAATAAAATTAATTTGTGCAGTGGTTGAAGAAGAGAGTGAGGGAAGGATACTTCAAACAAACTGATCAATCAAAGGCAGATGAGAGCACTCGTTCCATTGCAGTATTAATTCTTCACCACCAAAAAATTTCCTTTTTGTATTCTACCCATTCTTTAAATAGGGCTCGTTGTATTTTATTTTATTTTCTTTTGATTAGTTTGGATTCCCAGAATTAACGGCTCTTTTTGGTTTTACCATTTTGTTTGGGAGGGATGAACTTAGAGCATTAAAAAACAGGTTGGTAAATGCTATTTTACCAACAAAATACGGAGTAGTATTTTACTGCTCTAATCTTTAGCAGGTTCTCCAACCATTGAATGTATAGAGTTCAATCTTATGTATGAAGACATGTGACATTTGCTATAGACATCCTAAGGTTGAAATTGGAGAAGAGTATTTAATTTTTTTTACCAAATCAATTGCATTTACTATAAATACCAACTCTATTGGTTAAAATAGCAATCTTGCTAAAGTAAAGCTCTTCAATTCCCGTGGATTGAACAAAATTGAAACTAAGTTGCTATTTATTAGGGTGCTTGTACTGGTATATTTTTGTGCAGATTTTTTTGTAGGTTTAAACTCATAAAGCTAGTTGTATCAGGTGATGTTGTGATAAAAATTGTAGAGTTCATGTAAACTTTCTCATACATTATATTTTATGGGCTTGCAAGTGGGTTTTTTTGCAAAAGATCTAATTTTTTATGATATTAATGCATTAAGGTCGTTAAATTAATATGCACCTTTCTACAACGTACGAATTTTCTAAATTGGTAAAGTTATATTTAAAACTTGAGAGTTGTGATTATGGGGAAAGACCGGTCCCCACTATCATATTTCTCCTACTTTTTCTTTCTTTGATTTATTTAAATTAAAGTAAATATTTTTTGAAAGTTGGTGTTGTAGGTATATTGTTATAGAAATAAATTTAAAAAAATTAGAGCCTCTCCAACCATCCCATTTTGGCTTGGTAGAAGCTATAATATAGCAAGTCAAATCATTTTTCTCTTCTCCAATGAGTGTGCTATTTTTAGAGAGTTTGCCAAAACTCAATTTGGCTTGCTAAATATAACAAGGTTTCCAAATTATATGAAGTCAAGGGTTGTAGAATGGATAAGAAATCATGATTGGAGAATGGAACAAAAAGTCGTTTGTTATATCACTATGCATTTGTTAAAATATAAATATAGCAAATGAGTATAGTAAATATGGTTGGAGATGTTCTTAGTGAGTTTTAACTTTTGATGTGGCGCTGACGTGCAATATTAATATTGTTTTTTGTTTACCATTATAATCAACCTTATTATGTGCATATTGATTGTGTAAGTAGCATTTGAATGACCTTCTTGCCGTTTTTGGTGCATATTGTGCTTTCCTTTAATTTTATAGTGAGAGATGAAGGGGTAATGGTAGAACTAATATTTTTTTTTGAAGGATGGTGGGGTAAAAATAGGGTAGCTAGTAGACTTGATAGTAAATATAATTACGCATATAGGGGTGAACATGAAACGGTGTGAAATATGATTTAACTTGTACTGATATTGAATCAAATATTCCCATTCGATGAGAAATTTCATATTACACTAATATAAGAGATGGTGTGGGTTGGGATAGTGGTGCGCGATGCACTTGGAGGGGAACACCTCAGACTTGGTCCACCTCAAAATGCACAGATGGCAGAAGCAAGTGGACAAAATGAGGCGTTGATATGGTTGAGATCGTCCTTTATGCGGCGTGAACTAGTGGTGAAAATTTATAATGAGATCGCCTACAACGCAATCCAAGGTGATATAGAAAACTTTTCTTATTTTACAGGAATATTTTTTTTTTATTGTAAGTCACTAATGCAAGACTTTGACTTTCTTACATTTTCTCTTATTGAAAGATCAAGAGTACAATTTACTCATTCTATTACAATTCTGATACAAATATTGTATCGGATAGGGAAGAACTTCGAGCGTCTTCAGGCTCCAAGAAAGGGGAGGCAAAGAGAGAAGGAAAACTTCGAGCATATCCGAGCTCCAAGATAAGAGAGATGAGAGAATAAAAGAATTTTTGATTATTAATTGAATAATAATAACAAATGGTTACAATATATAAAGAATGAAGATAACCCTAATTGGCCTAATGGGCTCGAACCCATACTAAAACCCTAAACCATCAATAGATAATAATAAGTAACTACTAAATAATATAACTAATTAAAATATCCTATTTAACTATCAGTATCAAATTCATTGTATTCCGACTTGAATTAATAGTTCTATCGTTGGTTTTTGTTTAAAAAAAATTAAAGGAAAACCATTAATATAAAAACAAATTCTAACATGCTGTACGGAGTAGATATTTTGGAATGAGAAATACGGAGAAAAAGAGTTGCAACGAAATACTCCCTGGGTCCCGGAGTATTTGTCCACATTTGACTTTTGGAACTGTTCATCTAAGCACTTTGACTCATCAAATTCTCTCAATGTGTAAGTCTAAATATAGTATCTTGTATGATTTGTCTTAATTTATAGATTATTATTCCGTAATATATAATTTCTAGGGAGTAACTAACAAGTGGGACTATAAAAAGATCTAAAATTAGTTATCTATGGCCGCAAAGATCTACGTGGCCTTTTTCAAATCCACCACGACTACACTCACGTTGTCCGACGTCCTCCTTGCCAGAGCCAACTTCGTCAACAACATCGACGCGTCGGAGCAAAGTTTGTTGGAATCCCGGCGGCCCACTTCCTTCTCCGGCGATCGAGAAGGGGACATCGGCGACGTCTTCCCATTCAGGCAGATCCGCGCAACCCCGCATGCAGTGTCATTCGACACCACGTCCCACAGCCCGTCGCTGGCTAGAATTAAACAGTCGTCCTCCGGCGACCGGTCCGTGATCGTCACCTCCGGTTCGCAGATCACGTATGGCTTCAGATAATTGTCTCCTATGGCTCTCGACATTGACAGAACTCCGAGAACCCGAGGCCCGTCCCAGTATATGACCCGCCCACCTGCGTCTTGGATCCGGTTCAACTCATCCGGCCGATCCGGCTGCACAATTGAAATCATCACGAAAAACGGATTAATGTAAAATTAATCGACGTTTCAGTTCAAATTTCAAGGGAATAAATTTGAAATTAACTGAAGGTTCTAGAATAATCCTCTTTATTCACCTTCTGATCATTGGAGAGGGGCACCGCCTTGCCGTTCCGGCAGAGGACCGCCCTGGAATCGCCGCAATTGGCGACTATTATTTTGTCCGGAGTTAGAATTGCGACGACGGCGGTGGATCCGACGGCGTCGCAGTCGGGGCTCTGAAGCTCGCACCGGCAACTGCCGCGAGCGACGCTATTGCTCCACGCGACCGCCTCCTTGTCCATGCGACTGAAGCTTTGCTCCATCGCACCTTTCCAATCGGCGTTCGCTTCCTTCTTCTCGAGTTCATCCTTCACCAGCGCGTGAAGCCGCTCCTTACACTTCATCGCTACCTGTGAATTCGAGATTCAAAATTCAAATCGGACAACAATTATTCGGAGAAAAGCGAGTCAATATTCGCAGAGGACGGATTCGGCTTACGTGAGAGCATCCATGGCCGTCGTACACGGCAAAGTAGTGCAATTCGTTGCGATTCTCGCGGCAGAGCCACGGATGAACCGCAACCGCGTCCTCCATATCCCGCCGCCGTCCGCAGACGGAGGCCACGCCGAATTTCGGGAGCAAATCGGACGTTAACGGGCTCAAAATCAATCCACCTGGTCCAGTCAACCCCGATTCCTCAGCAACGGATCCGCCGGAATTGTCGACGGCGTTATGGCATATCCTCGAAATAGATCCGGAGGAACAGGTCTCGAATCGAGGACGTTTCCGTCGGGTCACAGTTTCCGGAGGTGTTACTCCGGGAAGGAACTTGATCCTCCTGATCTCCAGCCTCCTCCTCCGGGCGGACTGGGAAGACGTCTCTCCCGTCGGCGAGGGGCTGCTCTCTTTCACAAACTCACAGCACACGTCCGCCATTACTAGGCCGAAAGTTCTTTACTCAGGGCGGCTAAGTATGGTTGAAGAAATAACAGAGGCGGAAGTTTTCAAAAGCAAAATACTCACTCCGTACCACACTCCGGGGGAAATGAAAGAAGGTAGAAGATGATGGTAGGCATTAAAAAGGGCGCACTCCGTTTGGGGATCCCGTAACGGGGAAGAAAGGAGGGAATTGGATTAGATAAGAAGGGGGAAAGAAGAGAAAAACGATAAAAAAACAAAAAAAAGCGGAAGAAAATACAGAGAAAGAAAAGCAATTGGTCAATGGCTTATTTTTCATTTTTTTTGTAAAAATGAGTAATTGATATGTAGGAACAAAATAATTAAAAAAAGAAATTATTAGATCAAGAAATATGGAGAAAGTTGATGGAGAAAGTAATATATGTGACATTAAAAATAGAGTAAATTCTTAAATGATTTTTTCTAACTGAGTATTTTTCAAATTAGTCGTCAATAGCAATTAATTCGAAGGTATTTTGGTATTTTCATTATCTAAATTTTAAGTAATTCTCAAAATGGTAGCCTTTATAAAATTTCATGCAAAAATAAAATAATCATTGATTATTCATAATCTATGAAATATTAAAAATCTATCAAAATATTTTAAAATTTGGATCAGATACACCTCCTTAATTAGAAAAGACCATTTTGGAAAAGTATTTTATTAAAAGTATAATCCACTTAATTCACATATTCTACAGAGGACTATTTAGAAAATAAATCTCAACTACAAACTATCATGTACGGAGTATGTAATTAAAATGTATTGAAAACTAATTTAAGAAAACATCTCATTACAATAACTAATATGTATGTAATAAAGTATATGGATTTTCTTTATTTAATAACACTAATATGTAAGTACAATAATTCGAAAACATCAGTCAAGTATTATAATTTGTCACTCAACTAGTATATGAAATATATCATAGAAAAGAGCCAACTCAATCACTAATTCAAATTTATTATTCTAAATAAAGAAATATCAAAAAGCTTAACTTCAAAGTTAATTAAACTTGTAGGGCGAAATTGATGTGGATGAGTAGTTGAGTTGGCCAGTTGGGAATAGGATTGAGTGGGAGGAATGTGGGATGTACAGAGGAGTAAGAAAATAAGACGTGAAAACTATCAATTTTACAAATGAAGCACTGTATATATTGAATTAGAACAGTATCCAAAATGAGTGGTCATGAAACGAGACGCATATTTTATTATTAAATTATGGTGGAAAAAGAATAGGTCAAATGGTCAATAGGAGAGTTAAAGAACGGAGTAGTCCGTACTAGGGGTGTTCAAAAATATCCGATCCGAAAAATCCGTCCATGATCCAGGCATATCCGATCCGAAAAACGGATATTCGATCCGATATTTTAGCTTTCGGATATTTCGGATCGGATATCCGAAAAAAATCGGATCGGATATGGATTCAATTTCTGGAATTTTTCGAATAATCGGATATCCGATTTTTTTTGCTTATATGTTTAATGGAATTTTATGAATATATATTATGGGTATATGTTTAATGCAATTTTATGTTGATTTTGGAACTCAAGCATTTTGGACTTTTTGTCTTTTTGCATTAGCATTTTAAAACTTTTTATTTTAATAGTAATTTTTTTGTTTGTTTAGGCAAAAATACCAAAGTTACTCCCAAATTGAATTTGGTATCAATTTTTTATTAGGCCGTTATCTTGTGGTGAAATTTTTCTTTTAGTAAATCTATATTGAATTTGATATTGTGGGTTGATTTTGCTATTTTACCTTTTTTTTGTAAATTTTGTCTAAAAAGTCAATTTTTTGGATAATCCAGTGATCCGATCCGAGAATTCGGATATCCGAATATTTTCAGATCGGATATGGAATGAGTTTCACATGATCTGAAATTTTCGGATATCCGAATTTTCGGATCGGATCGGATCCGATTGAACAGCCCTAGTCCGTACAGATCGAATTGTAGTGATGGGTCAAACTGTCAAAGTGACCCTCTGTTAAGGTAGGAAGTACTCCGTAGTAGACATTGGAAGGTAGCAATAACCAACCAACCCTTCAAACTCTTTACACTATTGATGGGAACCAAGCCCATCGAGAGAATACTAGCGAATTGGGCCCAGACCCAATTTAGATCCCGTCCATCAAAAGGAGTGTCCGGCCCAGAGAAAATATATTGGGCCGGTCAAAGGAAGTTATCCGTGAGGAAAGATAGGAAAAAGGAAAAGGATTGGGGGCTTAAGAATGGGCTGAAGCCCAGCCCACTAAGAATAAGCTACCCCAAAAAGGAAAGGAATCCTATGGAAGAGTCTAGAGTAGTCCCCCCCCTAATTGAAGGGACAAGGATGAGGAGAAAGGGACGGACAGGGAGCAAGAGATGGACGGACAAGCTTGTCCTCCAGTGGACGGCCTCAAGCTGAGATACATCCCCCAGAAGGAGGGAGCAAGAGATGGACAGACAGGCTTGTCCTCCAGTGGACGGCCTCAAGCTGAGATACATCCCTCCAGAAGGAGTAAGGCTGGCACGAATATTCCCCCAATCACTGCCATTATTGAAGAGGATAATGGATGGGGAGTGCCTATAAAAGAAAGAGGGACTTGAGAAGTGGAGGATATCTTGTAATAGAGAGAGAAAATACTTGAGTAAATAATAAAAGATATTCCGGCGATCCTTAAGCATATTCCGTTCCTAAGAGGACCGAATAAAGGAGAGGACCGCCGATTTGAGTTATTATCCAGTGAGCAGTGCTTCTATTACTATTAATTATTATTCTCGTATTATCTTTCAATATTATAAGGCCCGGATACCTATATTTGAACCTGGGCCGATCTACAGTCCTTGGGAAAATATTGGGTATCCATCACTGGCGCCGACCGTGGGACCGATTGAAGCTTCCTAACCTTCTGGGGAGTTGATAGCGAGCCT